CACTTCCTTAAGGAAATAGGGGATCAAAAGCTGCTTTTAGACCTCTTCAGGTAAGAACCGATCGTCTGGTCTATAAAGTTGAGTAAGTACTTGTTTCAAAGCACTCCGAGGGATACAAAGGAACAGAAGACACCAACTGCCCGACAAGCTATTGAAGTGTGAGGAGATAACTAGCAGTACAGCACAGCTTATGAGAAGGTGCAAGCTGGTTAAGAACCAGGCTTTGGAGTCACACGCACTTGGGTTGAATGCTATTACAGATCTCCCACATCATTCATAGAGTGACCTTGGCCAAGTTATCAGCCCTCTTCATGAGGTTTTCACATCTCTCACATGGAGATGATGACACCGACCCACAGGGTTATTATGAAGATGAAGGGGTAGTGTGTGAGCCAGCACTTAGCCTAATACCTAGTTTGTAGTATTAATATCTATTTTTTTATTTAAAAAGATGTAGAATAAAGGTGTCTTTTATTACTGATTTCTAAGTGATACCAGTGGGAAGTACAGTAGAAGAGAAGAAGGAAATATTTTCAGTCAGGATACCCAAGTGAAGCCTCATGGAAGTGATTAGATTTGCATGGGCCTATAAAACTAGGTAGGATTCTGATTGGTGAGAGAAAGGCATATCTGCTGGGGGTAAAGAGGTCTAAGGTCTTTTATCATATTTTTCTTCCCTCTAATTCCAGTCAGTAGGAACTATTTCCCACCTTTGGATTAAAATATGTGCACATGATGTCCTTTCTTCAGTGTCAGGGAAATGGTTAGAACCTCTGTTTAGACTGACATGTGGCCCAAGGTGACTGTGATTACCCAGTGACTCCAGCACAGCAATGAGCTCCCCAGAAGACTGAGGTGGGGAAAAGCAGGTTACCTGGTTAGGGTCAAGATTACAGGTGTTAGCCAGAAATTTGTAAAAGAAGACATGGTCACAGAGGCTGGCTGCTTCCTCCCTTCCTCCTTCCCTCCTTTCCTCTTTCCCAACGAACAAGGCTTTATCAGGCATCACCTCCAAGCCAAAATGGTAATGTTAATTATGGTGGTCTATTCAGAGTAAAGAAGAATCAGAAGACAAAAGTCCTGGTGCTCCAAGGTTTTACCTAAGCCTTTGGAGGAGGCAAAACACATTGTACTCTGTCCGTGAAAACAGTAAAGAACAATATAGAAAATATGTTTTCAAGATTGTATGAACAGAGAATAGTGCTTTAATCTTAGGGGAAAAAAAAAACAACCAAGTTTTCTGTGGGCCCGAGTAGGTGGCTCTGAGCTTCCCTGTCAGACCTGTTAACAAAGTTATTAGTTCCTTGCAATACCTTCTTGTCCTTGCTTTTTGATCAGCCAGAGAGACCAGGGGAACAATGATACCTGATCAACCATTTATCTTGTGTATAGAGGGAAATGAGTCTGAACTGTGTTTCTCCTAGAGGAGGCACTCTATTTTGTGAGGTTATACTGCCACACATAAATAGATACAAATGCCCTGCTCCCTTCTGCTTCTTCCCAGGTTCCTAGATAGAACAGAAGAGCTGGCGGTAAGTGTGGCCTTTGTTTCAGTTGGGGACCAGTTTAACAGAAATCTAGGCTGGGCACGGTGGCTCACGCCCGTAATCCCAGCATTTTGGGAGGCTGAGGTGGTCGGATCACCTGAGGTCAGGAGTTCAAGACCAGCCTGGCCAACATGGCGAAACCCTGTCTCTACTAAAAATATAAAAGTCAGCCGGGTGTGGTGGCGCACGCCTGTAATCCCAGCTGCTTGGGAGGCTGAGGCAGGAGAATTTCTATAACCTGGGATGGGGAGGTTGCAGTGAGCTGAGATCATGCCATTGCACTTCAGCCTGGGTGATAGAGCGACACTCTGTCTCAGAAAAGAAACAAACCCAGAAATCGAAGCCAAACCTCAGCCTCCAAGATCCCAGACTGATTGAGCTATTTTCTTTGATATTGATTATATACAGAAGAGAGAGGCACCTGGAAAACCTGAAAACTTAATCTGAATGATGTATTTTTCTTTTTATATGCTCTTTTGGTTGGGCTTATGAATAAGTTTTAAAAAATAAATATGTGAAAATTGGCCTGGTCAATTTGTAATTTGTTTTTCAGTTGTTTTCAGGTCCTGGTTGGTAGGAGTTTTGGGGTTTTGGCTTCTCACAAAGAAAATGTTGAAGGCTAAGAGGCTAAGAAATCAGATATGGGTCAAGAAGGAAGATAGGTCAAGTTGATGAAACACTTAACATGTTTTGGCTGAGAATTCAATGGCCAAGTGTTAAGATTGAATTTTGGCAGATTTTCACAATCACAGAATGAACTCCTGGAATATAAGAATAAATCTGAAATTTTACCAAAAACTCAATTGTATTATTAAAACTTCAGCAATTCATGTTAAAAAAAAAAACCAAAAAAACTTGTCATTATAATGCAGCTATAAGAATTTCTAGCCAAGCATGGTGGCTTATGCCTGTAATGCCAGCACTTGGGAGGCTGAGGTGGGAGGAACACTAGAGTCCAGGAGTTGGAGACTAGCCTGGGCAACATAGTGAGATCCCATCTCTAAAAAAATTGTAAAAATTAGTAAAGCATGGTGGCGCATGCTTGTAGTTCCAGCTACCTGGGAAGCTGAGGTGGGAGGATTGCTTAAGTCTGGGAGGTCATGTCTGGGTGAAAGAATGAGACCTTGTCTCAAAAAAAGGATTTCTCAGCACTGTTGATGGCAGGATTGCTTTTTTAGTTACTGTACAACACATTCAGTTGGCACATTAAGTATTGTTAACCTTTGAACAGCATAATTACAATATAATACTGAAAATGCTTTTCAGAAACATGGGGTTTTTTTTGTTTTTGTTTTTGTTTTTGTTTTGAGACAGGCTGGAGTACAGTGGTGCATGATCATGTATTTTACATATAGTTTACTGCAGACTCCCAATTCCTGGTTCAAGCCTCAGGCTCCCAAGTAGCTGAGATTACAGGTGCACATGACCACACCTGACTAATTTTTTAAAATCTTTTTGTAGAGATGGGGGTCTCCATTTGTTTGCCAGGCTGGTCTCAAACTCCTAACTTCAAGCTGTCCTCCCACCTTGGCCTTCCAAAGTTTTAGGATTACAGATGTGAACCATCTCACCTGGCTCAGTAACATGTTTTCTGAAAGGAACTTGTACTTCATATTCAAAGCATGAGACAATCTGAAAAATCCTTTTTCTTAATCAACTGAAAATGATTAGTAGCCTGTAGTAATCACTGAAAAGCTGTTTATATTTTTAAATCTCTGTAAGTTCAAAACTATAAGGATTTTTCTTCTTACAGCATTCTTATAAACTTTTTTGTTTTGAATTTGATTAGTGAGAATAAATGTGTTTTGGGTAACTCATTTTAATCTAAAACTTTATTTTCTTTATACTCATGTTTGAATTGAAGATGATTTATCATGCATGTTGTTGTATATAGATTTTGAATTTTTCAACCTTGTAAACTTTGGAAGTGGCAAGGCTGATAGTACACTTTTAGTGTATGTCCACAGAATATGAAGGTTTCCCAAGAAGAACTTTTCTTGAAAGACCTAAGGCTGAAATGGAATTGAATAACAAAAAATTAACTATACCTTTTAAAGATTACTTTCTTTAATATTAGGAATGATTGTACACCAACTATTTTATATGAAATGTTTTACAAAGATTGGATTATGATATATAATTTCTGTTATTCTGTCTTATGTTATTTACATTTTTACATTTACATTTTTATATACAGCTGTTGGCTCAATCTGTGAATATTTATGAACAGTGAGTCAGAATGACATGCCCTATTTATATTACTGATGATAATTGTTAGATGTTGACATGATCATACTACCATTGATCATGCACATGATCAAGGGTGCCAAAAATAACACTGAAATATGCATTTAACTCTTTGACTTTTCAAAATCTAAATTTGAAGCAAAATATTCATTTTCGGTTAAATACTGAGGCTAAAGTGAAACTTAAAGGTAAAGCTCAGTACTGTATCTACTCAGTGCTTCATTATATAGATCAGCACTGGCCAATAGAACTTTCTACGATGATAGAAATATTCCATATTTGGGTCGGGCGCGGTGGCTCACATCTGTAATCCCAGCACATGGGGAGACCAAGGTGGGGCGGGTCACCTGAGGTCAGGAGTTCGAGACCATGATGGTGAAACCGTGCCTCTACTAAAAATACAAAAATTAGCCAGGCATGGTGGTGGGTGCTTGTAATCCCAGCTACTCGGGAGGCTGAGGCAGGAGAATCACTTGAACCCGGGAGGCAGAGGTTGCAAGAAGCTGAGATTGTGCCATTGCACTCCAGCCTGGGCAACAAAAGCGAGACTCCATCTCAAAAAAAAATATATACATATTTATGTTGTCCAATATAGTAGCCCTGGTCACATGTAGCTATTGAGTTCTTTAAAAGTAGCTAGTGTTAACTAAGGAGGTGAATTTCTACTTTAATTAATTTAAATTTAAAGAAACAGTTGTAGCTAGTGGCTATTGTATTGTACAGTGCAGTTATAGATAAACCTACTAATGATATGTAGTCACTCTTTGCCTATCCCCCCGCCCGCCCTCCATAACCATTTATACCAAGAAATGAAGAATTTGGTTTTTTTTAAAGCATGGGAAGTTCAGTTATTTAGCTATCTCCCTCATCTAAGGAGACAAAATACCTCAAAGCCTTTTTCTGCTTTTTGTAGCTATCTCATTATCGAGAGCATTTGAACATTCAGGACCCTGACAAACGAAAAGAATTTCTTAAGACCTGTATTGGGTAAGTATGGGGGAGAAATGATTTTAAGTATCAATACCTTTACCCAGAAGGAATGAAGAAAATTAAAAAGGGTGGAATGGATAGGCAGGAAGGGAAGGGCTAACAATGAATCACACCAGCATCATTCAGGGTCACCTCATGCAGTGGTGTTCACACACTTGTCCCCAGCAGAGTTTCCACTGCTTAGTGGTAAACCGAGAAAAAAAAAAGACAAATGTAAAGAGATTTTTTTCCCAAAGCCAAATTTATTTAATTTGAAATGTTATCTTTTATTGTCCTCACTTTTCTCCTCTTATTTGGTACCAAAATGCGTTGTACCTTTTTTTTTGTGACCTTAGGTAATAAAAAGATAGCAATACTTTAGGGACCTGATGCATTTTTTTCAGTGTTACTGGTCCTTGAAACCCCAAAGTCCAAGAACCACTGATCCAGGGCAAGCTTTCATCCAGAATTTAAATTATTACAAAACCCAGCTCTGCATATTCCTGTGACAGGGTGCCCGTTGCTCTTGAAACAGCTCAGTTTGTTTTTGGACAGCCTTCATTGTTGGAAAGTGCTTCCTTATGTTAAGCTGAAACTTGCTTCCCTGTATCTTTTGAGACAGGTGTAGTGTCTCCCAAGTAGTCCTTGCTTCTTTAGGTTCAGCACTCATGGTTGTTTCAACCATTCCTCGTGTGACATGATTTCCTGGCTTCAAGTTTAGAAATTCGATTATATCAGTGAAATCCATTTAATGTTACCAAATACTGAGATATGTTATATGGCCTCTGGAAAACAAGGAGAAAAGTTAAAATAGTGAAGTAACTAGAATTTAAAGCATCTCTCTAATTTATCTCTTCTAAAAATTCACTGTGGCTAAAACTTATCTGGAATAGTGCAATTAAAACTCAGAGTTCTTCCTGGAGTGCGCCGAGTACGGGGAATAATGCAGTACTTTTTAAAAGATAGACCTGTGAACTGGGCATTTAAAACCTGACTTCTGTTCCTGGCCTTCCCCATTGACTGACCACATAACTTTTTGGCAAGATGCTATCCCTTAGCATCTTCATGTATAACAATAATGCGGCCGGGTGTGGCGGCTCACGCCTGTAATCCCAGCACTTTGGGAGGTTGAGGTGGGTAGATCACAAGGTTAGGAGATCAAGACCATCCTGGCCAACATGGTGAAACCCCGTCTCTACTAAAAATACAAAAATTAGCTGGGTGTGGCAGCATGCGCCTGTAGTCCCAGCTACTCAGGAGGCTGAGGCAGGTGAATGGCTTGAACCCAGGAGGTGGAGATTGTAGTGAGCCAAGATCACTCCACGGCACTCCAGCCTGGGCGACACAGAGAGACTCCATCTCAACACAAACAAAAAGCATAATGCAGTGTTGAAGACAGGACCCTTGACATTTGTGATATTTGTCAATCTATAAACATACCACCATGCCATGTAATTTAATTTGCCTTTTGTACTCTGCAATAAAATAATGGCTAACAAATCTAGGTGTCCCCTCAGTAAGTTAAGCACAAGCCACAGAATTTCACTGGGATGTGGATGATGGGCAGTTGCCTAGGCTCACTCATTAGCTTTGTGACTGGTTCACCAAATATTCCAGCTTCCAAAATGAGAAGATCCTAATTCATTTATCAGCAAAATTATGAGTGACTATAAGTATTTTGTGGACTTTCAGGATCCCTCTTGAATTGGCAAAACCTTTAATACGAAATTCACGCCATTCATGCTATGTCTTTCTTCCTCTAAGGGACGCTCTAAAGGTGAACTGAGATCAGACTTGTGAGGCACCATGAGCCTCTTATACTTATGCTGGTGATTTGGTTTAGTTGGGTTTGTTTCCTTTTTCGAATAGAGAAAAATACTAACCTTCTGGCACTCTACCAGCTTGCCATTTTCAGCAGAAGATTCTGCACACATACAGGACCATTACACGCTCCTGGAACGCCAGATCATTATTGAGGTTAGACTCCTCATCTCCACATCTTCTGTGTCAGTGCCAAGGCTCAGTGCCATTCAGCATCTAGGAGATTTCTATACTCTGCATGTGGGTCATTTCTTGTTGGTTTCTAAAAGCCTTTCATTTTCTGCCTCTATACAATAGCCCCCTTCCTCCATTGTTTTTAGGATCCTTTTTCCTCTTACCAGCTGTTAACCTGGAAGTATTTCTTCTTCATCCCAAATCTCCCATGTCATCACCACTTCTATTTGTTTCCATCCAACGTGGATCCATGATCAGTTTATGGATTTTAAACTACCCTGGGGATCTCCTAGGCAATTTTTTTCTTTTTCTCTTCTTTGTTTTCACTCCTTGGGTGGGAAACACAACTGCTGTAATATTAAAAGACTTTTCTCCTGCCTCTACTCATGGACATTGTTTTTTGTTGTTGTTGTTTTTGTTTTTTTGTTTTGTTTTGTTTTGTTTTGTTTTTTACTTGGCTCACTCTACCATAGGCAAATGATCGCCATCTAGAATCAGCAGGACAGACTGAGATCTTCCGAAAGCACCCCCGCAAAGCTTCCATCCTCAACATGCCACTAGTGACAACGCTTTTCTACTCCTGCTTCTATCACTACACGGAGGCTGAGGTACAGGCAAAATATGGAAGATTCCACAAAAAAAAGTTCAAATCCAGTACTTTTATGTACTCTATTAATAATGGGTATGTATAGTTCTCAGAAATCCACCTGGAAGCTTTCCTGGCCCTCACCAGGGATAAGAGGGTCTCATCTGGCCAGGAGGGAAGAGGTTTGTAAGGTTTGTGGCTTCAAGTGAGCTGGCATGCTAGCATAGCAAGTTCTATCCCTGGTGCTGTTACCTGTAGAAGTCTCTGTTCAAAGGTCCGTGATTTCAAATGGATTAGCATGGTGTGGAGAAGAGCAGCAGGGTAGCAAGTAGCTGTGGATACTTTTTTTTTTTTTTCCCTGAGATGGAGTCTTGCTCTGTCACCCAGGCTGGAGCACAGTGGTGTGATCTTGGCTCACTGTAACCTCCGCCTCCCAGGTTCAAGCAATTCTCCTGCCTCAGCCTCCTGAGTAGCTGGGATTACAGGTGTGTGCCACTACTCCTGGCTAATTTTTTTTTGTATTTTTAGTACAGATGGGGTTTCACCATGTTGGCCAAGCTGGTCTTGAACTGACCTCGTGATCCACCTGCCTCGGCCTCCCAAAGTGCTGGGATTATAGGCGTGAGCCACCGCGCCCGGCCGTTCCTTTTTCTTTCTAAATTTTTCGAAGAAGTTTGGATTCCATGATAACAGGCAGACATTTTCCCCTTATTTGGATTAGCAGAAAATGGGAAAAAGCACCGTACTTATTAATCCAGTTCCCGATAAGCCAGCTTATAGTGGTATCTGACTATTCCCAGTGGAGCTCTTCTCTGAAATTAACTTCTGTGTTTAAATGGCAACAGAGTAAGATGTAGAAAGTCTCTGTAGTGGGAGAGAAAATGAGAGCTTGGGTGGTACATGGGAAAGTCAATATCACTAAAGTTCCTTTTTCGCTTTCATCCTAGGGGACATTCAGCAGTCCCGTCAACCTGAAGAAGACATTTAAGGTAGATACAAATTGGTCAGTGTTATGAAAGGAGTGATCAGGGTAACTACATGGAGTGGATGTTGCTTTGTAACCCTGTGCAGTATGTCCTTTGATATTCAAGGTTGAAGGTGGAAAGGAATGAGTTTGGGAAAGTGAGAGAAGACTGAATGCCCTATAGCAGTGGTGGGGCTTGGGAATTAAGAAGTTCTTGAACTGAGAAATGTTTTGATTTTAAGAGCAGAGTCAATATCAGGAAATATTTAATGTCTGTCTTTTCTAAAATTCTCAAGCACCCCCATTGATGTATTTCTACTTCCCCTTAATTTTTCTTGGTCTCTGCTTTTCAGATCCCAGACAAACAGTATGTGCTGACAGCCCTGGCTGCTCGTGCCAAGCTTCGAGCCTGGAATGATGTAGATGCCCTATTCACCACAAAGGTGTGTGCCCTGGAACTGTTTAATGCTGCTGAGGCCTTGGGAGACAGAAGGGTTCTATCATGTTACAAGTTCTGCTTACTGGTGTACATTTTTCCTCCAACTTTTTATTTTCCAAAATTTCAAACCTAAAGAAAAGTTGAAAGAATGAATTTTATAGTTCATATAATAATCAAATATATACTATAATAGTATAATAGTCTTTATCCACATCACTAATTTATTAACAATTTTGGCCGGGTGCGGTGGCTCATGCCTGTGATCCCAGCACTTTGGGAGGCCAAGGAGGGTGGATCACGAGGTCAGGAGATTGAGACCATCCTAGCTAAAACAGTGAAACCCCATCTCTACTAAAAGTACAGAAAATTAACCGGGCATGGTGGCGGGTGCCTGTAGTCCCAGCTACTCGGGAGGCCAAGGCAGGAGAATGACGTGAACCTGGGAGGTGGAACTTGCAAGGAGCCAAGATTGCGCCACTGTACTCCAGCCTGGGCGACAGAGTGAGACTCCTCCGTCTCAAAAAAAAAAAAAAAAAAAAAATTTTGCTATGTATGCTTTCTCTTTTTCTATACCTATGTGTTTTTCTTTTCTGAATCATTTGAAAGCTGTAGGCATCTTAACACCTCTCCTTTAATACTTCATAAGCACAATATTGGACCGGGCATGGTGGCTCATGCCTATAATCCCAGTACTTTGGGAGGCCGAGGTGGATGGATCACCTGAGGTCAGGAGTTTGAGACCATCCTGGCCAACATGGTGAAACCCCATCTCTACTAAAAATACAAAAATTAGCTGGGCTTGGTGGTGTGCGCCTGTAATCCCAGCTACTTGGGAGGCTGAGGTGAGAGAATTGCTTGAACCCAGAAGGTAGAGGTTGCAGTGAGCCAAGATTGCGCCATTGCACTCCAGCCTGGGCAACAAGAGTAAAATCCTGTCTCAAAAAAAAAAAAAATTACATATATATAGATATATAATTATCACTAAAAAAATTTAACATTAATATAATAATATATATTTAATCATGGTCCATATTTAAATTAGTTCTTTATAGCTGGTTTTGGTTTGCTTCTGTATTTTTTTCTATCAGGATCCAATCAAAGACCTTGCATTGAGTTTGGTTGTCATGTCTCTACTGATTTGCCTTTTTTTTTTTTTTTTTTTTTTTTTTTGAGACGGAGTCTCGCTGTGTCGCCCAGGCTGGAGTGCAGTGGCCGGATCTCAGCTCACTGCAAGCTCTGCCTCCCGGGTTTTTACGCCATTCTTCTGCCTCAGCCTCCCGAGTAGCCGGGACTACAGGTGCCCGCCACCTCGCCTGGCTAGTTTTTTGTATTTTTTAGTAGAGACGGGGTTTCACCGTGTTAGCCAGGATGGTCTCGAACTCCTGACCTCGTGATCCGCCCGTCTCGGCCTCCCAAAGTGCTGGGATTACAGGCTTGAGCCACCGCGCCTGGCCTGATTTGCCTTTTTTTAAATTAATTTTTATTGTATATATTTAAGGTATAACGTAATGTTTTGATCTACATATACATAGTGAAATGATTATACAGTCACACCAATTAACATCCATCATCTCACAGTTAGCCATTTTTTGTGAGTGTGGTAAGAGCCCCTAAAATTCACTCTCTCAGCAAATTTCCAGTATACACCACACTATTATTAACTGTAGTCCTTGTGCTGTACATTAGATTTCTAAATTTATTCATCCTGCATAACTACAACTTTGACCTACATTTTCCCCTCTCTGGAAACTACTTTCTATGTGTCTGACTTTTGTAGATCCTACGTATGAGTGAGATCAGG